TTCACACATCACTCATAGACACATTTTATAGTTAAATTTTTACCCTTAATCATAAAGTATTTACATTGTATATTCACATTATTCCTTAATCATAAATATATTTAAAGTGTGTGTTTTTTCCATTACCGAAATTATAAATGCAGCGTGGTAAAGAAGAAACTCGTATCGAAGCACTGACAAAATCATTTTTATGAAACATGAAATCTGCTCTGCTGCTCCGTAGACATCAAACTGCTATTTACACTGACCCAAGAAGTCTGAAGTAGAGCATTTGTGACCGGGTCATCCATTGGCTGGCCGGCAGACGACTTTGTCGCCGGTGGAGACAGAATTTGGGTCTGTCTTCTGTTGTGATCGCATCAACACTATAGGAGACTGGGTGAACCCAGGGCTCTTGATTGATTACCAGCAATGTTTAGCTGTTTTAAAGTGGCGCAAACAACCTGTCACAATTATAACCAAAAGCTACCTATTCGGGGATGGTGGTTGAACGTGAGGATTTTTATTATATTTTTATGCAAAACTGGAGAGAGAGAGAGAGAGAGAGAGAGAGAGAGAGAGAGAGAGAGAGAGAGAGAGAAACAGAGAGAGAGAGAAAAAGATAGAAAGAGACAGAGATAATCTAAAGTAGAGAGAGAGAGAGAGAGAGAGAGAGAGAGAGAGAGAGAGAGAGAGAGGGAGAGAGAGAGAGAGAGAGAATCTAAAGTAGAGAGAGTCGGACTCCATTCAGGGCCGGATGCAAACTTAATGAGGCCATAATCACAAAGCCTTGAGGCCCCTTCCGTTCTAAATTACACCAACTAGACTCAGACAGCTTTACTATATGTGCGAGTAAATAAAAGATGTAAGTTGACGCATTTAAAGTTGATCAGTTTATTTTATGTAAATAGGCTAAAAGTTATTTTAAAAAAATTAAAGTCCTAGATAATATACCTAAATTTTTAGTAAAATGGGGAGGGAGCTGCATTTAAAAAAAATTTGCATTGTGAAAAAAATGCTAAGAATTTTGTGAGGCCCCTACAGATTGTGGGGCCCTAAAATGTAGCTCGGTTCTCTTATGCCTAAATCCAGCACTGGCTCCAATATTTAGGATCTTATCTTGTATTTGCTTGGTCGGAAAACACATCTGGCCTAAAGAGCAAAGTGTGCAGAGCAAGCTTTAGGAAACCATGAAGGACCTGCTAATGACATGCGAGTTCATAGAGGCAACCCACCTGATGGTCTGATCTAAGCATACGAAACCGAACGCAAAGAAGAAGCAGTAGAAGATAAGCTTGGGCCGTAGGTGCAGAACGGCTAGCTATGGCCAAGAACATTGCACAAAGTTTATCTGCCTGCCACAAAAAAAAATTTTAAAACAAACACAGGGATGCATTAAAAAAAAAAAAAACTGCCTCCCGTTCTGTTCAGTTGATTAGCTTTACGGAACAAAGCACACAACTTGAACTACTAAATGCACGAAGCAGGGTTCCTGACAATAAAAGAGACACTTAGATTTAAAAAAAAGGGAGGTGAGAAAAGGGTTGATAAATATTCTGAAACTGATCATGAAAACAAACTAAAATGATCAGGTAAACAAGACACTAGTGCAATATGACCAAGGAAGCAATTTATTAATACTATACACCAGCCCTAGTAGAACATATTCAGTAAATAATATGCACAAGTGAATGTGACATGTCTAGGACCGTCCTGCTGTCTGGTTTATAGGTTGGTTCAACGAATCAACATCAAAGCTCAAAGGTAGTAAACCATCAGTGCTCCATTCTACTTCTAACTCAAGCCTGAGTCCGAAGAATCTCAACGCAGTGCACGAACTCCTTTACACCGGCGAGGATCCATAAAAATACTTTAGGTAGATTTAGGTTAGTCTCCGCATACCCCGCCTACATACACACTAGCTCACTTCTGATTGGTAGTTCCTGAACAGGTCACCTTGGTACAAGGTTACGGTGGTGTTCCGCAATGCCGTTGATATCGCGTGTTGTATATTTCAGCACGCCAGCGTTTTGAACACTTCCAATACAATGCAGAAAGCAAACAACAGAGCGGGACACACTAGTAACCTATAAGAAGGTGGACCAGCCCAACAAACTTGTAAATGAAAAGTGACCTACTTTGTTTGGGGAGATTTTCGTGAACCTAACCAAAGTTTTATAGGTTTTAGCGGGTTATTTGAGTTTGGTGGGTTTGTATGCGCGCAAGTGGGCGTGTGTCTAACAAGAATCAAAAGGAAATACAACCCACACAGTATTTTTTTTTTTTCTGAAGTGTAGGAATATTTTAAGTGTTGTTCTACTAGGGACATACCACCTAGAGAAAAGAATAATTAAATTAGTCAGAAAACCACCAACCCTGGCCAAAGAGTGCCTTATACTGACAGGCTAGAACAAGTCTTTAGTTTGTGCCTGAGAACAAGATAAAATCGATTGCACAGCCCCTTGTATACGATATTTAAGATGAGTGTATCAGTCATGTACACATATGGAAAGTTGCCGCAGACGCTAGACCTCAAGTAATTTCCCCAGGTATCTGGGTAGTAAGATCGGACGCAGGTAAATATTGTGGCGCACGTAAAGAGATCCCTTGGCAGTTGGAAATCGAAAAGAGTAGCCTAACGGCGCTGCTCGGACAAATTTGGAGATAAAATTCTACCCAAAGTATTTGAGAATCCTCGCCGGTGCTACGGAGTTCGTTTACTGCGCTGAGATTCTTTGGACTACGCTCTGAATTAGAAATAAAAAAGAGTACTTATGGGTTACTACTCTTGAACTATATTGTTGATCCGTTGTTCAAACCATCATCTAAATGTAGACCCAAAGATACAGTTCCGAACTGGAGTAAGTTTTCGTTACAAGTTAATTTTCTGCAGCTTACCTTTGAAAAAAAAAATAAAAGTCACTGCGGATAAACTGGCTCTCAAATTAAAATAAGAAAAAAAAACGTTTGTCTTAAACAGACACTTAGAACGTATATTCTGAACAGGTAAACTAATCGTATATAGATGCAATGTGAACGCTTCTGATGACCAGATGTTTTCAGTGGTCCTGTTCACGTTTCCCGGCCCATTGATATACTGTCTGACCTTTTATTTATACCTTCTCAGACTCTTCTACGTCAGACAGATGTCAGGTTGTCTTGCCTCCAGTAACATCAGCTTCGGCAACGCAGGTTCTATACTACACAACGACACAGCTTTCAACGTCCCTACTACCCACAGCCTGAGCCTAGGTCACACGAGAAACTCTTTGCGAAGAAAGTACAACGTGACGCCCTCCTGACCTAGATCAGAATGACAAAGTGTGTAGATGGGCCGGTAAATGTGAACAGGACCCAGTCAGATATACATGTGTATTTGTGGTATTGTCGTAGTCGACTGGAACACACCAAGGTTCTCAGTCCAGTACTACGTTTGATTGTCAGTTCTTTAAAGCAGAAACACCAACTATCGCCATCATTGTTCAATGATTCTGTGGTTTAACATGTCACTGTGGACGCCATCTGTGCCAGTAATGTTAGTTATCCTTCACAGCCGTTGTGATGTCGAGATGCCTTATATACCCAGTCCTGGAAACACGTTATCGTCTTCAAGCCGAACTCCCAGGGAGACAACCATTAGAATAACCATTTATGGAAGTATCGGCCATGCTGCCTCCTGTGTCAAATCCTAGCCAGAATGAGGCATTCTGCATTCTGTAATCCTACAGGAAACATTAGGTAATCACAGACAGTTTCAACTTTGTACCAAACGGTTGTTCCATTTCTGTGCCAAAGAAAACCACATTCAGTGTCCATCATGGTATCTTGTGAAAAAGTGGACACAGAGCGCAGTCTCGGCAAAGCCAGAAGCACACACACGCATTAAATGCATAAAGCAGCCGTCAGAAGTACAGACATAACAATATGTCACTATAAATGTGGTGTATTGCCATTGGAAGCAGCAGTTACAACAGATCAATAGCAACAAGAAAAAACCGCTACAGCTCCTGATGATGATAAGTGGCAGGTACTCATGTTTTGCACATTCCTTGTGAAAAATCTTGGAACTGAGAGTGAAGTTTGTCAACAAGCATTGAGAAGAGTCGAGACGCCGCCATTTCATTATTTCGTTTGAATGCTTTGATGTCCTAGATGGTCTTCTGAGCCGACAACTGAGAGTTTATGTTTGCCACTGTGACCAGTCCCCTTCGACATCTACAGTCAACATCACTGAAGAACATCTGAAGGCAGAGGAAGAACTCTATCATATTCGGATGACATCCTAGTGTGCCGACAGGGTAGGAATAGAGGTGCCATTGTTTGGGCTCTACAACAGGAGGCAGATCGTTTATCATCATGTGCAACATCTCTGGGGCAACAAAGAATCCATCCAAAGCGTCAGTCACCTCGTATGTGACAGAACAGCTCAGCATGTCTGGGTTCCAACGCCAACAGGGACCCTCGACCTAACGTTGGCACCATCAGGTCAGTAGACCCGCACTAGTCCACTGGGCTTGAACAAGCACGTCTTTGATATAAATGACAAAAGCCTGGTAACGTCGAGTTCATCTCTGTCGTTTCGTCACAGACGAATTAAGGAGATATCATTTGCTTGTCTCACATAGAGAAGACACATTGTTTTATCTTAGAAGACGCATTTGTATATGCTCATGATCGATATCTTCGGCTGTCACAAACAGTAGAAATAATGTAAATATTTTTTCTTATGTTTGTTAGACGATCCATTAGGTTTTTTGTTATGTTTTTGCTTCTGTTTCATACAGTCTTGTGTATCCATGTGTCTTGGCGTAACATATAGATCGTAAACTGTTTTATCCATATAGTAAATTATTTTATCCACATTCTCCAAACTGAACATGTTAAAAGATAATAAATAAATCACGACGTTGCCTGATTCTGAAGTTTAGTGATCGCAGACGTAGCAGTCGGTGAAGTTCATGTACGAAGTGTCCTATTTTGTGACGTCACAGGTTTGGGCCGGCAGTGTTCTACGCTGTATGTTATCCAGCATGTATGTCCTGTATGTGGCTGCCCATTCCTTCCATATGGAGCGGTGGACTTTGAGCGGTGGCCATCCCGTGGTGAGCCATACCGTGGCTGCCATGTCCCATCATCATATGGTGTGGATGTCCAGGGATGAGCATGGCCTGAGAGTGGACAGGCGAGGAGAATTGAGCCATTTGAGCGTAGGAGGAAGGCGGGGCGCCGTACATCTCTGGTCGGTGGATTCCTTGCATGGCGAACATGTCGTAACGCTGACTGGGGTCTAAGTGTGGGTATCCTGCCTTCATGGGGTCGTACAGGTCATGGCCGGCTTGAAGTCCTGTGGATGAAACATCAGCAAAGGTTAACTGTCAGTTTAAGAAGACAGGCATAGTAAAGGAAAACTAATGAGACAACAATTAAAACAGAAAAGATTAAAGCAGTGTTTCCCCATTTGGCGGTCAGCGGAAACCGAGGGTGCAAGGACCAAATTGAAAAGGTCAGTAATATTTTTGTCCAAACAAATGTTTTAGAGTCGAATATTTTCTTGCGGTTCTAATATTCATAGGTGACAGGTTCGATTTTTATGTTGTCTAGTGTGTCCTTCTTTTTTTCTACGTCTTTCTATGAGTGCCAATTAATACTATACTTGTTTGCTTACTATAAATATGTGTGTATATATATATATATTTTTTTTCTGTACGGCTTGCCCGGCTCGCTAGCGTAGTTTGCTAAACCGGACTGCGCGGTGACTCCTTGTGGTCTGGACTCACTCCCGGGGGTAGGCAGAAAAGCCACATTTTCTCATAGATTTACGGTACCTATCATGGAATCAAGGCCGAAGGGTTGCGATACCCATAGTACCGAGCCTGAGGGTTAATAACTCATGGTTTCTGGATATTTAAAAAAAAATCTGTACGGCTTCAAGGGTTCCCCCTCTGTTTATTTATGTGAATGATGCGTAACACAATGGAACCTACCAATCAAATCTCTTAAATGTTTGTGTATACTAGACAATCACGGTCTACTGTGTTTGTAAATTGTTGCTGTGTTTGATATTCGACCTATGTTTGGTTGATATAAACTTCTGTAACCTATGGTGCCATTACAATGATTGGAGATGAATTATGTCCCTAATCCATAGCTGTGGATTTCAAGCTGTACGATAGACACCTTTTCTAGAGGTTCTTAGTTGGTCGGGTTCTTAGTACACTTGTTTCCCTAACGAGGCGCACACGTCATTTCGAGGTGACGATAAAAGAATAAGAAGAGGAAGAAGAAGAAGAAGAAGAGGTGGATGCCAGATACAGAAGATGTCACAGTCTGTGCTCACATTCTCGAGTGTCACGTTGATAAGAATAAAAAACGTCTACAAACAAAACGCTCACTGTGGGCTCGTATTAAACAAACAACTTACTATGGGCTCCCATTAAACAAACAACTTACTATTGGCGCCCATTAAACAAACAACTTACTATCGGCGCCCCTTAAACAAATAACTTACTATGGGCTCCATTTAAACAAAGAACTTACTATGGGCGCCCATTAAACAAACAACTTACTATGGGTCCCCATTAAAAAAAACCATACTATGGCCTCCCATTAAATATAAACCTGACTATGGGCTCCCATTAAACAAATACCTTACCATGGGCTCCCATTAAACAAACAACTTACTATGGGCTCCCATTAAACAACCAACTTACTTTGGGCTCCCATTAAACAAACAACTTACTATGGGCCCCCATTAAACAAACAACTTACTATGGGCTCCCATTAAACAAACAACTTACTATGGACTCCCATTAAACAAACAGCTTACTATGGGCTCCCATCAAACAAAAATCTCACTATGGGCTCCCATTAAACAAACACCTTACTATGGGCTCCCATTAAACAAATACCTTACTATGGGCTCCCATCAAACAAATACCTTACTATGGGCTCCCACGAAACAAAAACCTTACTATGGGCTCCCATTAAACAAATACCTCACTATGGGCTCCCATTAAACAAATACCTTACTTTGGGCTCCCATTAAACAAATACCTTCCTATGGGCTCCCATTAAACAAAAACCTTACTATGGGCTCCCATTAAACAAACAACTTACTATGGGCTCCCATTTGCATGTGTTGATTGTCGAAATATCCCATACTGGCTGCCTCTGGGCTGTAAGCTGCATGAGCACCAGGTCCCGCTCTGTTGGACTGGTCAATCATTGGCTGGACTATCCGTCGTCTGGCGTTGATAAACCTGGAATAAACAGGTAACACATGAATCGTGAAACGTCAGATGCAATAGAAGTAGTCTTGTACAGTCGAGTCCACACAAGTCGAACTCGATAAGTCGATAAGTTCGGTTAAGTCGACATGGCCAGCTTAGACCCGGCAATTTTCTCTATTGTGTGTGCTGCCTGGATAAGTAGAAGTCCTGATTAGTGGAAGCAGTTTCCTAAGTCCCGGCGACTTCTACTTATCCAGACTCGACTGTTTAACACAAGACACATACAAGATAAAAAAAATACAAGGTGCCTGATACGTTTTCATAAATAGGAAAAACTACTGTTGCTTTGCAAACTGTAATTCACTGCTTAACAACACACATAAACACGGATGGAGTTATTCTTGTAATGGCGTTGGTGATATTTTTTATGTTTTCTGTATATGGATTATTTTTCCTGTGTACGTGTTATTTTCCCTGTCGACGGATTATTTTCCTGTGTAAGGATTATTTTTCCTGTGTAAGGAATATTTTTCCTGTGTAAGGATTATTTTTCCTGTGTAAGGAATATTTTTCCTGTGTATGGATTATTTTTCCTTTGTGTGGATAATTTTTCCTGTGTAAGGATTATTTTTCCTGTGTATGGATTATTTTTCCTTTGTGTGGATAATTTTTCCTGTATAAGGATTATTTTTCCTGTGTATGGATTATTTTTCCTGTGTATGGATTATTTTTCCTGTGTGTGGATTATTTTTCCTGTGTGTGGATTATTTTTTCTGTGTGTGGATTATTTTGTATGGATAATTTTTCCTGTAAATGGATTATTTTTCCTGTGTGTGGATTATTTTTTCCTGTGTATGGATTATTTTTCATGTGTGTGGATTATTTTTCCTGTGTGTGGATTATTTTTCCTGTGTATGGAAACTTATGGGGTACTCTCTAAATTTAAAATAGGGGCTTAGGAAAATGGAGGTTAGGCGCGTTGAGGCTCTCTCCAAACACACACACACACACACACACACATACGCACAATTAAAAAAAAAACATACACACACAGCCAGGTATAGAAGTTCTCTGTCTAAATATTTGCTTAAACATCTCGTAATATTTGAAATGTGCATACATTTGATATATATTATATTATTTCTTTGTTATTTGTTGCGTGCTGACAATAAGCAGTCAGCCGACACTAGGCTTCAGGTCACTTCATAAACTTTTTGTTGTGCCCCAGTATAACTCTACTATATGGCATTGTTTCCTAAACTTGTCTCAGTGGCGGCGCATTTTTTTTTTTTTTCTTCGCGTAACATTTTTCCATGGCGCCCTAACCTAAGTAAAAGTATGACTTTTCGTATATAAGAGGTCAAAAGAAATAAAACTCGTGTATCTTCGAATATGTCGAGGCGCCCCTTGTGTAAAGGAAAGAACGTCGCTGTAGCTAAGGAGTTGCGTACGGGCGGCGACACAGGCGGACAGTTTCATATCAATTGTAGCAGAAAGCGCAGTCAGAAACGGAGGTGCGGGAGTGTACATTGAGTATCCTAATAATACCAGGGATGCAGCCAAATTACCAAAGGGAAAGCACTGTCACAACTATGATGCAGAAGTTCAAGCCATCAAGATAGCGGTAGAGAAACTACTAAATACAGGGTATTTTTCACAACCAGTGGTATTCCTGACAGATGCAAAAGCAGTACTTCAGTCACTCCAGTCTGGAAAATTACAAAGCATACGGACACTATTATCCGAACTAGGCAACCGCTGTAAATTAGTAATGCAGTGGATACCTTCCCACTGTGGAGTTCCCGGAAACGAAAAAGCTGATAAACTAGCTAAGGAAGGTGCAACTGAAGAACAACCTGACATACCAGTCTCTTATCAACAGAAGAAGAGAATGATCAAATCAATCAGAATGCCACCGAAACTGACACAAGATGATTACCATATTATGGACAGACCAGAGCAAGTTATTATCCTTCGCCTTAGAACAGGGCACAATAGACTTCGCTCCCACATGTACAACAAATTTAAGATTGGCCAATCGGCCATGTGTACTTGTGGACTGGCACCTGAAACAACAGATCACATCCTTCAAGACTGTCCCATATTCAACGCTTTCAGGCAAAACATTTGGCCAAAAGAGACACTTGTGGAAGTCAAACTTTACGGGCCGCTTAGTGAATTACAAAAGACAGTGAAATTCATACAAGAGACGGCTTTGCAGATATAGACAATTTATTTCACGCGAACGAAAGAAGAAGAAGATATCAATTGTCTGTAGTGGTGGCAGAGCACTTACGGTTTATAACCGTTTGAAATGACGCTAGTTCACATCTGCCGACTTGACCTTTCACCTTTACGGGAGACAAACAGCTGACGCACAGCATCCTGTCACTCAAGTCGAGCTATTCTGACCATGTTAAACGTTTTGGTGGCTTTAGGAGAACAGCAATTGAGGGTACAATTTCTGGAAAACGAGGTAGACAGCGACGTCTGCGAAGGTGGAAACAACACATTGAAGATGCATTGGCTATGAAAGCACATAGGAGTTGAGGCCTGGCAAGAGTGCAGGGACGAGGTCGACGTTCTGTAAATGACTTTGTTTGTTGTATTCTAGACACAGCGTTACGTTCCGATATGTTTGTAATTGTTGTTAGATTTGTTACTCGACAAATGCTTGGTTCATTTATGTGACCTATGTTGTCATGTCATTGGTTTGAGATGAATTATATCCGTATTCCGTAGTTGTGGATTTCAAGCTGTATGACAGTCATGATCAGTAAAGACATCCTTACTGGGGTGGGGGAGGGGAGGGGGGGGGGAGTGGAAGGCGGGTGCTTAGTTGGTCATGTATGTCAGTGCACTTGTTTCCATAGCGAGGCGCACATGCCATTTGGAGGTGACATGCTCGATTCTCAGGTGCGTAAGGTAACCACAGCTTTCGATTTTTATTTTTTCTCTAGTATATGCTTCTATCTTTCTACTTCTTTCTATAAGTGCCCATCAACACAAAGTATGTTTATTATAAACAATATTTCTATGGTCTCAGGAATTACCCCTTTGTTTATGTCTTGTGTAGGACAGGACGACTGCTTATTATTATTGCAAAATGAAACAAGGCTTAATCCTGTGCACCCCCGCCCCCTCCCTAAAAAAACTACAATGGCTTCCTTGCCGCGGCGCTCCTGCAGCTGACAGTTAAACGACCAGATCATTACTCACTTTTAATAGAACCGTGAGGGGAAACACGTGCGACCCCGACCACCGCAAACGTCATCTGTGGTAGCCAGATACCCCCACATCCTTATCTCCCTCGTGGCAGATGTTGCCACAGGTGGAAAACCCACATGAATACAGCAGACGTAGATGCGGCTTTGTTCCAACAATGTGCGGACTGGGGCGGGGCAGACGAATCGGGGACATTGACATATACTTAATAAGACAGATTCCTTGATTGGGTAATGGATGGGATGCTGGGTAAAACACATTGAAGCAATTACAGGGTCTTGCTGGTGCAATGTGGGGTTTGTTTGTGAGTATGGGAGTTGAGGAATAGACTTAAGTATGTGAGCTGTAATTTTTGATTTGGTTAAATTACAACATAGACTGACTAAGCAAGGGCTAGAACTAACGACAGACCAAGCGAAGGTAAGCAAGCGGAACGTAGTAGAACGACTGATTACTTTGAGGCAGAACAGACATATTTTAAAACGTTTGATCGCAATCGATGAAGTAAAGAATGGCCCATGGGGAACGATATTTCTTCTTCTTCTTCTTCTTCTTCTTCTTCTTCTTCTTCTTCTTCTTCTTCTTCTTCTTCTTTTTCTTCTTCTTCATCTTCTTCGTCTTCTTCTTCATCTTCTTTTTTCCCTCCTTAATCTTCTTCTTCTTTTTATTTTTTTTTCTTATTCTTCTTCTTTTTCTTCTGCTTTTTTTTTTTTTCTTCTTCTTCTTCTTCTTCTTCTTCTTCTTCTTCTTCTTCTTCTTCTGCTTTTTTTTTCTTTTTCTTCTTCTTCTTCTCTTTCTTCTTCTTTTTTTTTCTTCTTCTTCTTCTTCTCCTTCTTCTTCTTCTTCTTCTTCTTCTTCTTCTTCTTCTTCTTCTTCTTCTTCTTTTTTTTTTTTTTTCTTCTTCTTCTTCTTCTTCTTCTTCTTCTTCTTCTTCTTCTTCTTCTTCTTCTTCTTCTTCTTCTTCTTTCTTCTTCTTCTTCTTCTTCTTCTTCTTCTTCTTCTTCTTCTTCTTCTTCTTCTTCTTCTTCTTCTTCATTTGTTCTTTGTTTTCCTCTTAGCATTCACCGTCTGTAACTCAGCGAATAGTTCTGTTTTGTTGTGTTTTTTGTTTTTGTTTTTTGTCGTTGTTGTCAACTGCTTGACTCGGGGCTTGTTCCAAAATATGAGTTTTGCTTGCACGTCTGTTTTTTCTCATGTCTGGCTTACATGTATACAGACTGTTGGTTCCTAGCCGTTCAGGCAAATTCACTTTGATTTTTAAGGACACAACTGTTACGACATGCTTGTATTGTTACAAAAGGTGCTTTAAGGGAAATGGGTATTTTCTTTCCCCTCACAATATCGCTCCGTAACCCACACGGGGGAGATAATTCAAATAACCCAAAGTTGATTGAAACGAAAAAAGTAAATCCCTGGTTACGTCCCATTCATCGGTTTGCAGCACTACAAGTAACGTTTCATATATGGCAGGCGAAGAATTGCCGAAGAGTTGTAAATGTTTACTGTTTGTTTATGTTTATGTTTGTTTATATTTATGTTTGTTTATGTTTATTCAATGGATCAACATCATGGTAAACGGGTGCGATCCATAATTGCTCTGTTTCACATCTAATTCAAGCCTGAGTCTGAAGAATCTCAGCGCACTCCCTTGCACCGGCGAGGATCCCGAAATTCTCCAAATTTTGCCCGGGTAGCACCGTTAGGCTACTCTTTTTCGATTTCCAACTGCTAAGACATTTTTTACGTGCGCAACTATACACACGGGTGTCCTGTCTGACTACCTAAAGACCAGGTGAAATCACTAG